ACTAGGGGGACTTAAGTCGATTTGCCATTCAGGATGACTGGAGATCGTGAGTAACCGAACAGTGGCTCGAGGCTAGTTGAACTGGTCCTTAAAGTGTTTATGCGATCGATCCAATCTCCTGGATTCAAAATGAATGGTACAGCCATCCATTTTCTGAGATATTCCCACTCACATTTGGGTTCCTAATACCAATTTCCTTGATGAGTCTAAATAGATGCCTACTTTTGCCTATCGCCACTGCCTTTTCCATCGCTTTTACTATCGTCACCCACCACTGTTCACGGTCGTTACGTAGTTTTTTTATCAGCCTGCGCCTAAGCTGACTCCGCTCGACATCGCACTCAGAGCGAGGTAGGATGTGTTTTCCAGCATCTATCAGTTCGGTAGATGTGACTGAGATCCAAGGCCTCATTCTAGCACTATAGTCTACCCTACTAGCAGATATCACTGCCATTTGCACAGCCTTTTTGACATCATTCCAACCTGCTTCCGGATGAGAATCGCTGACATTGTCGCCTAACTCTCTTTCTAGTTCCTCTTGAAATATATTCTTATCGAAATTCAGTATCAACCTACTACTGCTTTCGGACAAGCTGACGCTTTGTCTAGACTCATTGGTTCTCAAGCGAATCAGGAAGAAGATACTTTGGTGGCAGCGATTGAGTCAGAATTACATCGAGTATTGGAATAAGCAGTTGATGGTCTACCAGTTACATTCCGCCGGCGCGATTCACTCACTATTATCGATTCATGCATTATTTTTGGTGACCGAATTATTATTACAGAATTATTGCGACATAAAACCCTCAAGCAATTTCACAGTGGTCACCCTGGAATAAACAAGATGAAATCATTGGCGCGCAGCTACGCCTACTGGCCCTCGATGAATATGGATAAAGAAACCAAATGCACAAAATGCCTTTCATGCTTACAAGCCGCAGAAGACCCTTAGAAATGCGGGGCTCAAAAATGGCAGAAACCCACTGGACCTTGGGAGAGAATTCATGCAGATTTCTCGGCCCCTACCCAAGGTAAAATGTTTTAAATTATTGTAGATGCACAAACGAAATGGCCAAAAATATACAGCATGCCGAACTGCACAGCCTCGGATAGTAATCAGCTGTCTACCTTATTTAGTTGTTTCGAAGTGCCAGAAACCTTGATAACTGATAATGCATCGCAATTTGTTGCGTACTCATTCAAGCGATACTGTATTTCAAACGGCATAGCGCACCTACGGTCTCCACTTCACCATCCCCAATCCAATCGACAAGCAGAACGCTTCGCTGACATCTTCAAAAGAGCTTGACTGGAAACAGGAGCTTTCGGAAGCTGTGTCAGGCACACGAACCAACTGCGAAAGGACAAAAGAATGTTACGCTCGAGTGATTATCGCGTAAATCTACCGCTGGAGTTGATCACAGAACCGACAACTACACATTAGTCCGGGAATACGGAAGAAAAGAGAAGGTCGGAGACACTAACTAGAAAAACTACAAACAGAATGGAACGCCGCCGCAACCCAGTCGTAAGACTACAAGTGGACCCAAGAAAAAAATCTAATTCCACGGAGGTGTTGGGGTAGCCATCGAGAAGCCACCCACGCACATAGTCGATTGACGATCTTATCGATTAAATTTTTTAATAGTTCAAGGACAATATATATAATTGTGTAAATACGCATGTTTTATTGTATATTTTCGATTTCGCAAAAGTAAGTGCATCTCCAACGCCTTTCGTCTGCTTACTTTTGAACGATGGGAGTCTAACGTTCAGTGTTGTCATTTGTACAGTTGTTTGGCGTTACTCAAGTAGAGAACTTATCAGTCTTCAGATAAAACCTTCGATTGTGCAATTTTCAAAGGAAGTACATAGTTGCTTGTATACAGCCTGCGTCCGCTTGAAGTATTAATATAAATATAAAACGGAGGTCAGTTATGAACGTTTGGACTAAGTTGGCAGGCTAGAGAGGAAGAAGCTATAGAGTTATGGATCACTATTGCAGTCAGCTACACAATGTAGAACTTTGTACGTGTAGTAGGTACATCAGTTGAGGTTGCCATATCACAGTCTTGAAGAGAATACAAAGATTGGATACATCAGCGCTACTGCATACGATCTCAAATCATGTTATTTAAGGCCTCTAACTTTCGGTTACTATCGTCTCGTCGACCCCAACAAGGTAGCCTACATCTTCGAATATGACTCAAACCATTAGTCTGTGTGACTTCATGGATTTTTACCGCGTTTTCACCTGGCCGCACTTACGAATCAATAAGGATTTAGTGATTAGTTAAGTTACAAGATTTACTACCACTGTTTGAATCTTGTGATTGATTGGTCAAGTCTCAAAGGCAAAAAGCTATAAATTAAAAAAAAGTAAGATTAGGGTTCAAATCATAATTAAAAAGTGTGGGAACGTGGTATATATTGGACAACAAACAGTTAGGCACACACCACAACTAAATACATGAAATAATCATTCCAACTAGATCACATCAAATTTCAATCATTCATTCAGCCACAACGTAGAACTTAGTACGTACGTACATTAGTGAATGTTGCCATACCACAGCACAGTAGTAGTAGAGAAGTGGCAATAGCGAGTGTTTCTAACTTTTCGAATCCTTTCTGTTAGTGGGACATAGATGGAATTAAATCATGACTACGTTGCTGCGCGCTGATTGGCTAATTTCCTATCCAATCAGCGCCTGATCGAATCTTCAAGAACAGGGTAGAAGATCCTCGTACTGTTAGAGCTGCATGCTGATTGGTTAAATCTAATCCAGTCGATCACATGAATTTCTATCCAGAAGCTTCTCATGAAAATGCTATAATAAATAGACTAACGTTGTATCTATTTTTGCCTTCGCCCATTTAACCTTGGTATTTTGGAATATAATCTTTTCCTGTTCAATCGTGTTTCTTGATTCTTGGAAACTTGTCCAGCAGTGTATTGTATGGTCAGAGAATAATACTAAGCAATAGGATTTAGTTGGGAATTATTTATGCAAGCAAGCGTTACAACACTTACTGTCATGTTTAGTCGGACAGCGTACAAGTAGACTAACTCTATCTACTACGCATCGAATTCGTTCGTTATCACATAACAAGAATATGAGAGTTTGTGTCTGTATGAAAGTAACTTTTATTTAACAAAGCATGATTACTATGATTACAATTATTAGTAGTAGTATTATTATTAACTCATAAAAACAATCATCATGCCATAACCTTGTGAATTATTGATTTTTTTATTGTACATATTTCTCTTGGGGACAAAAGAAAAAAAAACTGAGAGCAGAAAATGAGAAACATAAAAAAATTGGAGATAAACACAGACAAACACACCACAAGAAAAAATGTAAATAAATCAACCAAAAAAAAAACGAAAAATTACCGGTATAAATGATATAAAAGCAACCAAAGAGTAAGTAACTCTACTAGAAAAATGCCATTATTATTAGTAGTAGTATTTCAATATGAAGCACAAAAAACATACAAAAATGATAGAGGATACACAAAAAAAACACATGATTTTTAGGAAGAAATTTTATGATTTTGACCATGTCGGTACAGGGAATTGACGAACACGTACACTAGATTCATCTAGTCGATCAATTGGATGTAGGTATAGATTTAATGTAGAAAAAATTTGACGATTCAATACAGAGAAACGACTTAAACGTGCAGCCATTCGTTCAAGTGACTATATAAAAATCAAAATAATAATATATGTGAACAGAAAAAAAAACACACAGAACTCCATTGAATAAACAAAATTGACGATAGAAAAGTTATACTTACTTACGCCTGTTAGCCTAGGACGCCCATCAGTTTTCTGCAACCTACTCTGTCCTGGGCTTCCCTCTCCAGTTCTGTCCAATGTTTGTTCATTCCTCTCATATCTTTCTCTCTGTTTCTCGGCGTAATGTGTTCCTTGGCCTTCCTCTTTTCCTTTTGCCTTGAGGGTTCCATGTGAGGGCTTGTCTTGTGACACAGTTAGGTGCTTTTCGTAGTGTGTGTCCTATCCACCAACTCCACCGCTTCTTCCTGATTTCCTCCTCCACTGGAATCTGGTTTGTTCTCTCCCACAGTTCGTTGTTGCTGATGGTGTCTGACCAACGAATCCGAAGTATTTTGCGTAGACAACTATTAATAAACACTTGTATCTTATGGATGATGGCTTTGGTAGTTCTCCATGTTTCCGCCTCATACAGTAGAACTATCTTGACATTTGTATTGAAAATCATGATTTTGGTTTTGGTTGAAAGTTGTTTGGAGTTCCAGATATTTTTCAATTGTAGAAATACATCCATTGCTTTGCTAGTCCGCGCCCAGAAAAGTTATACACGTTGTGTAAAATTACTTTAATAATTCAACTTTTTTTTTGAAATTAACACTTGTCGAGAATATATGACATCATTGTAGTAGTGTGTACTAATAATAATACGTTGAATTCATTCGGTTTGTCTCACACACAGACTTTGAACAAACTAACTAATTCATTCTTATTGAAATCATGAATTGATCAGTGATAGGTAGACAGGTATCATTAGAAATCTGGAAAGCACTGGATAGGGCGTTTCGTCCTAGAATGAAACTCATCAGTAGTGCACATTCATCGACTCCTGCTAATCGCAGGATACAAATCCTATAATGCTAATCAACTCTTTTAGAGTTATTCATCGTCATCTGAATTTTCAGGAGTAGTAGACCTTCTCTACCAGGAGGCTCGCTTATTGAGTTAGAATATACCGATGAAATAGTCGTACTTGGTGAAGGCACTGACAAAATGCAGTCTTCTGACTATCCTAAGCAACAATGCAAGCATGTTCTGGATGCCGTTTCCGCCCTCGTAATGTAAAATGGTGCTTCAAGATTGGGTTGCATCGGCACCTGAACTACTGATAGGTAGTGAAGTAGTCGAACATGTAGACCGCTTCGCTTATCTGGGGAGTCTCATCAGTGCCGATGGCCTGGTGACTGACGAAATCTCAGCACGGATACAGAAAGCTCGAATGACTTTTGCCAACCTGCTTCACTTATGGAGTAGGCGAGCTATCCGTTTACTGACTAAAGGACGAGTGTACGAGTGTGCAGCAGTTCGCTCTGTCCCACTATATGGATGCGAAACATGGCTGGTAAGAGTGAAGGACATTCGTAGGTTATTAGTATTCGATCATTGGTGTCTCCGAAGCATTGCTCGTATATCATAGGACAACCGAGTAAGCAATACTGTCGTTAGGATGACAGCATACCGATCGACTAAGAATGATATGTAGTGCCTCCACATATATTTCAGTTCTCTCACATCTAACTTGGTTAAGCCCTTTCGATTAATTTATTTAACCAAGCCATTCGCATAGCAACATCCCATATGTACCATTGGTATTTTTTATTATCTGCTTTGTATGAGCTTATACGACTGAGCATTGCTTACGCTTACGCACTTACTCATCCTTTTCACTTTAATGTTAATCTCTTAATATCTCCATGAAATCGAATGATTTGTATCGCTTGCTTTTGACCTTGTCAATCATTCGTCGCTTTTATTCATGTGTGTGCATACCTATTTCGCTTGTCATATGTCTGTCTTATTCTTATCTGACTATATATTCTTAGTCATACTCTATCTCTTTGAGTTGGCTCAATAGCCTTCTCCTATTCGCTTCTTCAATTCGATTTGTGGTGTGCCTCAAATAAACGTATACGATATTTGGAGTTCATCTTCTGATTTATAAATCGAGCTTAAGAACACGCAGCCATCGGGCACACTACATATATATACGAGAAGAGATGGAGGAAGATTTATTCCACAACAAAATTTAATCACTCCTAGTACAAATCGGATTCAGCATCATGGGATAGATACTACAACATATGTATACATAACACTCATTATTACCTTTTAGAGAAAAATGGAAAGAAAAAAAAAAGAGTAGAAACAACTTACAACTCCCATCGGTGTCACATCTTTTTTATCTACACGTTGTAATCGTAAAATATAACTACCAAAATCAACTGCTTCAAATTGACGTTGTTGATCTAACAGTAGAATTATAGCACAACCAGCCCAATTTAAACCTTCACCAAACATTTCTTCAATAGTATATTCATTTTGACCAAATGGTGTACAAAACACTAATTGAATGACAGACCATAAACGATGAAAATGTGTATAACATTCTAAGCCAAGTATATCATTTTGATGTAGCAGGTTGGTATTGGTTGTTGTTGTTGTTGTAGTACCATTGTTGAGAGAATTATGTTTCAATAGATGACCAAGACGATGCCATGATGTAGTAGTATTGCTACCGTCAGAATCTTCTTCATGTAGGAAATGTTTAATTTTATTTAAAACCTTTAAGAATAATTGAAGAAAATTTATAAAAGAATTATTTTTTTAAAAAAAATATTGTTGTTGCTCTTCCGATTATTGATTTTTTTTTCTAATTCAGGAAAAATGTAATTTGTTTTTTCGGAAAGACAGTGAAATCGTGGTGCGAGCTACTTATAAGTAGTAGTATATGACGTGAGTGTCAACGTAATGTCTGGCAGCAGAAGATGAGGATGGGGGAAGATCAAGAGAAAGGAAGAGTTAGAAGAATATAATAGAATTTGTGTATGAAACGCATGAATAGTGATTTGTTAGATAATGGATTGATGATGGATTGAAGATTTGCAAATGAACCGTTTACGATATGGTTTACCAATTTTATTGAGTAACTTTGTAATTTTCGTTAAATACAATCCGGTTGCCCTCACCTCTGTGTTCTCCTTCACTACAAAATGTGTCAATCAAACTTACCTTACGTACAGCCTTTCTTAAAGGCCCTTAGTGGGCACCCTTACCCAAGGAGACGGAAATCCGTGAGTTAGGGGAGGTGTGACATTTTTAGGGCCGACCTTTTCTAACCCTTCCTTCCTTGTGAGAAGGCAGCATCGCTGCAGATGCTGGTTGTCCGAGGGAAACACCTTACTGCTGTCACACCCCCCCCCTCTGCAGTCAGCATTACAACTTCGCCCTCAGACCTTGGGTAGCTGCTTTTAGTCTCATCGTTCTCCAATCGACCTGCCTGGCATGGTAGGACCTGCAGGAACATGTGTTCCAGCCAGTATAGCTCGGTTGGGTCATCACGATAGGCAAGCCCGACCACCACGTCAAGGTAGCAGCTTCGGTCGGGCCATAGTAGTAGAGGTAGTAGAAGTATTAGCAGTAATCTGAGAGAATAGGGTTTGAGGATATTATTGATGAAGTAGAATCTAGTGAAATAAACTTTATAAGAGAAAGATAAAGGTGATGAGGAATTCAGAAAGTTTGAGTTCGACAGTGGTATGTCACAATTTGTATTGAAAACTATTCACAACTCGAAAGGTTAGATTTATTGGTAAACATAAATGTCAATCTGGGGCATAGCATTAACTAAACACAAGTTATTCGTTATTTTCACTGTACATTACATCAGAAATCCACTAAGGAGAGTATTTCAATGATTCGAAACTATTGTGAGATCTTATTTCAGCGTGCTGTTCATTCTGTAAACTGTTCTGTTTATTGGATTAGTGTTTTTGAATAAATAAGAGGGTCAAATAGTTAGTTCCTGCTTGGTTACCAATTAGCTAGTTTATTAAACAGCTTAGTTTGATTGCTTGGCCTAGTATTTTTTTTTAAAGAAACCTAAGCTTAGTTTTATTTTCTCAGTGACAATATATTCACTGTCAACCAACATGCCTGCTGCACATGCACATTGCTGCGTTGATATACAGCGCAAGGAAACTCACTGTTGCCAACAGTACTGACCCCTGCCCCTTTCGGGTACATACACGTTGTCCGGTTTGGTCTGCAGACAAGTTGGACATACAAAAAGCACGCACACGAGCAGTGGCCCCTGCACGGGCACTTGCGAATCAAGAAATCCCACCAACCAAACCACAGCCCACAATCCCCAATCGGCGAGGGCGGCAAGGCGGGCTTATCCTTCCGGACAAGGGACCCCGTAGCAGGTTACCGAGCCACCCAAGCAGTGCACTAACCAGCAGCAGTTCCAACCGTCTGGCCTCCAACTGCCTTGCGTTGATACAACTGATCGAGGCCCGTCTTACTCCGCATGAAGCTAAAGATCGAGTTTGTCCCACAAGGTCAGCTAGAACGTACACCCTTCCATGAGGAAGATGTCATGGACTCGACCAAACGCAAGCGCACAGCCAAGCAGGGTTCATTCCACAGAAGTGGGCAGACATCATTGGTGTTCAGTACCCTTTCAGCAATAAAGCACCGGAACCCAACTTGAGACCCTTGTTTAAGGGGCCTCGACGCCAGTTCACACACTCATTGGGTGCAGCATGTAAGGGACAACCACATAGGGTCAACGTCAGTAGTCCAGGATGTCTGCGGCTGCTTCCCCAAACATAGGGTCCAGGGCCGCCCTCGATCATCCTACTACATCCCTTTCAACGGCGTTTAGCCGCAGCCACCGCCACGTTTCTAGCGGGACCACGAAGAGGTGGCCGCCACCGCAACCCCCTCGAAGGCATCAATATTGCTCAACCCGAGGCCACCTCAGGCATTCTAGGGCTACGCCCAGCCAATTAGATGACTAGGCATTTGGCTACCTTAAGAGAGTCATAGTTACTCCCGCCAATATATATGTATATATTATAGATAGTTATTAGTTAATGATTTTGTACAAACTTTTAAATTGGTTAGAATGATAATATTGATTGAACCACATAAACATTGAGACCAAAAAAACAGGCGTAGAAATATATTCATGCGCCGTACAAATTATTATTGAATGTACAAGTGAGCTTTGGTATTATGACTGGGGTGCTGAAAAGTGAAGTAGGTGTCTTTAGGCGAGCCACACTACAACAGTCTGATCTACAGGTCTAATGTACACGGTCATGGAGATATGTTAGATGGCGACTCAATGTAGCCGGTGACTAACAGTAGTCAATCAGTCAGTCAGATGCAACGTAGAACTTCGTACGTATGTACATCAGATCATGTTGCCATATCACATCAGCTTAGAAATGTAATTGTCAATTCAAATCCAATAGTAGAAGAGGTAGTAAAGATGTATACGAAGTAATCAGAGAGGTTAGGATTCGAAGATACTATTCAAGAAGTATGATTAAATGGGATAAGTTTAGAGAGACAAAACTAGAGGGGTTGAAGAATCCAGAAGATTAGAATTTGGGAGAAAACAAAGAATAAATGCACCTGCGCCATTGCAAACGATTTTGAGCCATGTCATTCAGCGTCTCTAACCATCGATTATTATCATCTCGCGGACCCCAACCAGGTAGTCGACAACTACCAACATGACTCAATCCACTTGTCAATGACTTCATGGATTTCTGCCATGTTTTGGTTTGGCCGCCCCTAACTTTCTTCCAACCTACTCCTACACTACAAAACAAAGCTCGACGAGGCAGTCGGTTGTTAGGCCTACGCAGCACATGTCCCAACTACCTCAAACGATGAAGTTTGATTACTTCATCTATTGATCAGCCATCCTTACCTAGTACTCGTTTCCTAATAACAGCATTGCTAACTCGGGCGTCCCACGATATACGATCAATGCTTCGAAGACATCTATAATCGAATACTAATAACCTACGAATATCTTCTACCCTGAATGACTAACAATAGATTCATATACACAGTTTGTTTCATCCGGATTTTGGAGTGAACGTGGGCCATTCGGTTTAGAATCAGAGTTTTCCGATGCGCCCTAGATGGATCCTCCGTACGTATTAACCTTGTTTAAGAGAAAAACATTCGCTTTTCACTGTTTCGAATCGGTAAACAACACCCTTAGCACCAGAAATCAGTGAATAGGACGTCTCTAGAAGTGACTGCATACTCGCGGCCATCTAGGAGAACTTTAACAGCTAATTAGTCATCAAAAAGTCCGAACGACAATGCAGCTATGTATATAACAAATTTATGAAATGTCTAAAGTTTTATCAAACTGTCGGACACTGAAAAACTGTCCATAAATTGAAGCCGCCAATAATAACCAATGCATCGAACGATCGAATTCATGCTTAACAGTCATTTTTTGTCGTTCAGATTGTTGAAAGAACCATAAAAAAAGATTATTTCCTCTTTTCAAATTGAAATATATCTGTTGAGAATAGTTAAACTAACTTGATTAGCTTTATAGATTCATACTTCTAGAATAATATCTTCTAATCCTAACCTCTCCGATTATTTCTAATACATTTACCAACTCTACTACTACTCTTAAAAGCCCTTAGTGTGCACCCTTACCGACGGAGACGGGAATCCGTGAGGTAGGGTGAGGTGTGACATTTTTAGGGTCGACCTTTTCTAACCCTTCCTTCCTTGTGAGAAGGCAGCATCGCTGCAAAATGCTGGTTGTCCGAGGGAAACACCTTACTGATGTCACACCCCTCCATCACAGTCAGTCAGCAGTACGACTTCGCTCTCAGACCTTGGGTAGCTGCTTTTAGTCTCATCGTTCTCCAACCGACCTGCCTGGCATGGTAGAACCTTCAGGAACATATGTTCCAGCCAATATAGCTCAGTTGGGTCATCACAATAGGCAAGCCGGACCACCACGTCAAGGTAGCAGCTACGGTCGGGAGATTTTTTTTGAAAGAACCATAAAAAAGAAAAAGATTATTTCCCCTTTTTCAAATTGAAATATATATAGCTGTTGAGAATAGTTAAACTAACTTGATGAGCTGTATAGATTTGGTTTCTGCAATGGAATTCATTCGAGAAAAGATAGACAGACGAATAATGAAACAAACAGAAGTGACTTTTTCTGCTGATCAATGAATCAATAATAATGCACAGTGAAACGTTACAAAACGGTGTTAAAATCTCTTCTACACCAAAAAAAATGGTCTAGTTGTCAAGTTTTGAAAACATTCATTCTGGATGACAACTTAAAAAATTATACCTTTGAAATAGTAAAACAAACTCCCTATCATTAATTACAAACGTCCGGACAGTTCTACTGTATGGAGAGGAAACTTAGACTTGAATTACGAAAGTCATCCTTCAGAAGAGACAAGTGTTTATTAACAGTTGTCTACGCAAAATACTTCGGATTCATTGGCCAGACACGATCAGCAACAACTTACTGTGGGAAAGAATATAGCAGATTCTAGTGGCGGAGGAAATCAAGAAGAAGCGGTGGAAGTGGATAGGACACATGCTGAGAAAACCCACTGTTACGCTCGTCTCTAGGTATGCTTAAAACGATTACGAGTTTACCTTAGTCGATAAACGAGAACTAAACAATGAACCAGCGTCCAGGTAGACTACTGTGATCCCTTGACCAAATTGAATCAACAAGAAGTCTTGATATAGTGTAGAAATTTTATTCTACAAACACCCAACCAGCACACAATGAATCCAAGCATTCAAATTTCTTTTATTAATACTCTATAGAGACTTCGTTGGGACAGTCAAAAAATAGCACACACACACAGTAACCAATCACAACCAAGGATTTTCCTGGTGGGAAATGTGATCTCAAGGTCAACTGATCGGTCCATGAAATAAATCCAAAATAAAGATATTTATCAAGCGAGTTCTGGGGATCTAACATCCCCACCCAACTACATTCTCAAGACCAAGTGAAAAGAGGAAAACCAACAAACATATTTTACTAAGCATCAGAAGCAGACATGAAAAGAATGAACACCAATTGGACAGAACTAGAAAACAAAAAGGCGCCTAAGGACAGATAGTAAGTTGAAGATTGCTGGTCGACAGCCTATGCTTCTGTTATAATCGCCTCTTAGTAGTAGAACTCAGTTATTCCTATTGCTTAGCATGCTCGAGAACACCAATCCACTCAATACGTCTCCAAATCAGAACACGGTTGATGTTAGGAAATTCATCCAATATCATAAGAGAATTATTGGTCAATTCCTATTGGTCGATTTCTATTGGTCAAAATTATGGTCGTTATAACTGTCAAAGTCAAATACTTCAATGTTGTTTCTTATTGGTTGTCCTGATTATCAATGTCACTTCAAATGTTACTTCCTATTGGTCGTCTTAACTATCAATGCCACAGAATTCGATGCTGTTTCTCATTCGACCAAAATGTATAAATACGCATTATCTGTAACGTTTTATGACCACGACCAGGACCAGGGCTCGGTCACGGATCCCTAGTCCGGGATCCTGATTCTCTTCTGGATTCGGACCTCGTACTTTCTGGATGCTTGTAGAATACACGTTCTACTTCACATCATATATTCTTATTTTAACTAAATATGGGGGTTGTAATAATCGGATTTGAGTAATATGTCGTGTCACCGGATCCTCGCTCTCGTTTCCGACTAGGTAAACTCGTAATAGTTCAAGTATATCAAGTTGACGTGTCTACATGCAGGCGTCACAGCTGAACAAGGAAAGGATTATGTACCAAATAGCAGGGTGAAATGGATGTGTAAGAAGCTGAAGCAAAGGCCAAAAATTAGGAAAAAAAACATTAGTTAGCATCTTTAAAGTTTTTAAACATGAGAAGCTTTTAAAAATATTCTCCAAGTATCGAGACTAGCACTAAATACATAGGAATTAGCCAATCAATGTGCAGCTAGCTAACAGTAGTCATGCTAAAAATCCAATCTCAATGTCCAACTAACAGCAGCTCTACACTAGTGGTAAACAAGCATAAATAAGTGAGTGAGTTCAATAGCCTTGAAAATAAATAGTACAGTACAGTTATGGTGTGAGCTACTTATAAGTAGTATATGACGTGAGTGTAAACGTAATAATGTCTGGCAGCAGAAGATGGGGGAAGATCAAGAAAGGGTTAGAAGAACACAATGGAATTTGTATGAGTGACAATGGATTGATGTTGTTAGCAACAGGAACAGTCCAGTTCGATAATGATGAACTGATATTTTGCAAATTAACAACGGTTTACGATATGGTTTTCCCTATTTTACTGAGTAACTCTGTAATTTTCGTTAAATACAATCCGGTTGCCCCACCTGTGTTCTCGTTCACTACACAGTAACAATATATCATGAAATATATGAATAATTACACTAAATCAATGAAAATTATTTTGTAAATAAAAAATGTTTTTTTTTAAAAAAAAATCAACTTACAAATTCAAATAATGTTAAACCAGAACAAAGTCGTTCTTTAGTTAATATTTCATTTTCTTTAGCTAAAGCTAATTGCTAGCGTGTGAAACAAAAAAAAACGACACAAAAACATGATAATTGAGAAAAAAAATTAGAAACAAATTTAAATTGAAAATTATATGCACAAAAGAATCATTCAAGGTTTCAAATGGAGGTGTCAATCAATTGAACCACCCCTATTGAATGATTTTCAAATGATTGTTAATTTCTTGACAACTTTGTTTTTCTGAAAAAAAGCATGGTGGCCTAGTGACTGACGAAATCTCAGCAATGATACAGAAAGCTCGATTGGCTTTTGCCAACCTGCGTAACTTACCGCACAAGCGAGATATCTGTTTGCTCTGTGCTACTATACGGATGAGAAACATGGATGGTAAGAGTGAAGGACATTCGTAGGTTACTGGTTTTCGATCATCAGTCAGTCAGTCAGTCAGTTGCAACGTAGAACTTCGTATGTATGTACATAAGTTCATGTTGCCATACCACATTATTAGCACAGAGACGCAAATGTCTCATAGTGATAGAGATGGTAGAGGTATTAATGTTATAATAAAGAAGACTAGGGTTTAAGATATTATTCAAAAAATATAATTCAGTGAGATAAGGTTAGAAAGACAAAGGTAGTGGTGCTGACGAATCCAGAAGATTAGGATTTGAGAGAGCTCAAAGAGTGGATGCACCTGCGCCATTGCAAACGATTTTGAGCCATGTCGTTCAAGGTCTCTAACCATTGATGACTTTCGTCTCGCGGACCCCAACCAGGTAGTCTACATCTACCAACATGACTCAGTCCACTTGTCAGTGACTTCATGGATTTGTGCCATGTTTTGGTCTGGCCGACCCTAACTTTCTTCCAACCTACTCCCACACTACAAAACAAAGCTCGTCGAGGCAGTCGGTGGTTAGGCATACGTAACACATGTCCCAACCACCTCAACTGATGAAGTTTCACCACTTCATCGATTGATCTGCCATCCTTACCTAGTACTCGTTTCCTAACGACAGCATTGCTTACTCGGCTGTCCCACGATATACGAGCAATGCTTCTTAAACATCTATGATCGAATACTAGTAACCTACGAACACCTTCTACTCTTAACGGCCATGTTTCACAGCCATATAAGAGAACGGAACGAACTGCTGCGCAGTACACCCGCCCTTTGGTTAGCGAACGGATATCACGCCTACGCCATAAGTGACGCAGGTTGGCAAAAGTCAATCGAGCTTTCTGTATCCGAGCTGAGATTTCGTCAGTCACCAGACCGTCAGCACTGATGAGACTCCCCAGATAAGTGAAGTGATCTACACGCTCGACTACTTCACTCCCTATCACTAGTTCAGGTGCCGAAGTAACCCAGTCTTGAAGCAACATTTTGCATTTCGAGGGGGAAAACCGCATCCCGAACATGCTCGCATTGTTGCTTATGGTAGTCAGAAGACTCTGCATTTTGTCAGCGTCTTCACCGAATAGAACTATGTCATCGGCATATTCTAGATCAGTAAGCGACTTTCCTGGTAGAAGGTCAACCCCTGAAAAATCTGACGAGATTAATGTTAACTCTAAGAGGATGTCTACGACAAAGTTGAACAAGAATGGAGAGAGTGGACAGCCCTGACGGACACCACTTGATGTAGAGAATTCAGATGACAGTTCGCCATAAGCTCTCACCCGACCAGTGGTGTTCGAGTAGAGTGCTTGTATAAGGGTAATGTACTTCTTTGGTACACCTTGCAATGACAGACACTGCCACAGAACCTCACGATCCACTGAGTCGAATGCCGCCTTAAGGTCCAGGAACACGACTATCGTCGGACGTCTAAATGTGTGTCTGTGTTCCAGGACCTGTCGTAGTGTGAAGATGTGGTCTATACAACCACGTCCAGGTCGAAAACCAGACTGGTTTTCTCGAGTCTGCTCTTCGCGAGCTCTAGTTAGACGTCTAAGTATAATCGAGGCTAACAATTTAGAAACTATATTAGTTAAACTTATTCCCCTGTGATTGTCACAAGAGGACTTCTGTCCTTTCTTGTAGATTGGGACAATTAGCGACTGAGACCAGTCAGATGGGATTACGTCCATTTCCCAGATTCTACCTAGGATCTCGGTCAGTCTAACCGTTAAAACTGGACCACCATACTTAAACATCTCAGGGGTAAGCCTATCGGGACCTGCCGCTCTACCTCTCCTTAGATTTCCTATAGCTTTCTCAACTTCATGTAAACTGGGAGGACTTAAATCGATTTGCCATTCAGGATGACTGGAGATCGTGGGCAACCGAAGAGTGGCTGAAGGCCAGTTGAACTGATCCCTAAAGTGTTCTGCCCATCGATCCAGCCTCCTAGATTGAGAATGGATAATAAGACCATCCTTTTCCGAGATAGTCTCACTCACATTCGGGTTCTTAATACCGGTTTCTTTGATAAGGCGGAAAAGTTGTCTAGTGTTGCCTATCGCCGCTGCCCTTTCCATCGCTTTTGCTTTCGCCACCCACCACTGTTCACGGTCGTTACGTAGGCTTTTTATAAGTCTGCGCCTAAGCTGACTACGCTCTTCATCATGTTCAGAGTCAGGTGGGATGCGTTTTCGAGCATCCATCAGTTCGGTGGATGCGACTGAAATCCACTGCTTCATCCTAGCATTGTGGTTTACCTTGCTAGCAGATACCATTGCTGTTTCCACAGCCTTCTTGATATGATTCCAACCTGCTTCAGGATGGGAATCACTTGCATGGCCGCCTAACTGTTTTTCTAGTTCCTCCTGAAATATTTTCTTAGCTTGATTATCATCAAGTAGAGCCCTAAGAGGCTTCCTTACTGTGTCTTTCCTACGTCCAGCAAGCCTCAAACAAATACGCGCTCGCACTAGGGCATAATCTGAATCTAAACATGTGCCCCAGAACGAGCGTCAGTCCTCTACCGAACCCCTCCATCGGTGGCTGATGGCGATATGATCTAGTTGCACCCAACGTTGAGACGACTTCGGGGGTCGCCAGGTCAAAAGGTGTTTAACCTTATGCTTAAAATTAGTGTTTGCTAGAAATAGTTGGTTATCTGAGCACAGTTGCAACAGACGGTCGCCATTGTCTGTTCTTTGAGCCGCGAGACCGTAACATCCACCTAGGTGTCTTTCATTTTCACTTAGTCTACCTACTTGTGCATTGAAGTCACCAGCCATTATAACTATATCAGAGCGCTTAACTTTTTGGAGGAGGTCCGAAAGCTTTCTGTAAAACTCATCTTTTACATCATCTGGGCTGCAGTCAGTGGGGGCGTAGGCTGATATGGCGAAGAGGCAACGGCGAGTGTCCCTATCTTTCCGAGTCCTTACTGTCCCGTTCAGTCGGACGGCGCACAAGCGACTATCTACTGGGATCCAGTCAACGAGAGATTGTTCTGCCCTACGACTCAATGCTATACCTACACCGGCGAGGCCCCTAGAAGCAGCATCAGGGCTACCGGATACACGAAGGGTGAATCGAGCTGCTTCTTTATTTTGACAAGGTGAAATCAGATTAATAATTTTACTAGGATCCTGTATGCGCGTTTCCGAGACGCAGCATACATCGATGGAGCGAGATTCTAAAGTCCTAGCTAATGATGCCTGTTGCCCTATTTGACACAATGTCCGTACATTGAATGCTCCAACATGTAGTTTGGAACGGGGTTTAAGGAGACCAAGAACGACGTTTCGCAAACTCGCATCGTTTGCATTAGCTGTGCACTGTAATAAATGAATGTGAGAAGAGTTAGTTGTGGAGATAAGAGAGGTATTAGGGAATGTAGGAAGGATTTGATTTTGAACAATTTTGTCTCGTGTGCTGTTGCGGGTATGAGGGCGGTTATCACTTCCCGGCTGCCCACACCGTGGAAGGTTGTTTCTTGACGAACCTGAAAAGGAAGATGGATTAGTGTTGGTGCGTGACCGCAGAGTCCAAGGGACAACTGCTTGAGGCCGGTCACGCACGGCCTTTTTATCAAATGTTTTTTGAGGATTAGCTCCGTTCTTAAAGGCCCTTAGTGGGCACCCTTACCCAAGGAGACGGAAATCCGTGAGTTAGGGGAGGTGTGACATTTTTAGGGCCGACCTTTTCTAACCCTTCCTTCCTTGTGAGAAGGCAGCATCGCTGCAGATGCTGGTTGTCCGAGGGAAACACCTTACTGCTGTCACACCCCTCCATCACAGTCAGCAGTACGACTTCGCCCTCAGACCTTGAGTAGCTGCTTTTAGTCTCATCGTTCCCCAATCGACCTGCCTGGCATGGTAGGACCTGCAGGAACACGTGTTCCAGCCAGTATAGCTTGGTTGGGTCATCACGATAGGCCAGCCCGACCACCACGTCAAGGTAGCAGCTACGGTCGGGTAGGTGTATCATAGGTGTATCCGAAGCATTGCTCGTGTATCATGGGACAACCATATAAGTAATGCTGTCGTTAGGAAACGAGTTCTAGATAAGCATGACAAATCAATAGATGAATTGGTGAAACTTCATCAGTTGAGGTGGTTGGGACATGTATTACGTATGGCTAATCACGGACTGCCGCGACGGGCTATGTTTTGAGGTGTAGGAGTAGACTTGTAGAAATCTAGGAGTGGCCAAAACAAAACATGGCACAAACCCATCAATTCAATGAAAACTAGACTGAGTCATGTCAGTAGGTGTCGACTACCTGGTTGGGGTCCGCGAGATGAAAGTCACCGATGGTTAGAGACCTTGAATGACACGGCTCAGAATCGTTTGTTTTCTCTTTAATTCTAACCTTCTGATTTCCTCATCACCCCTATCTTTCTCCGTCTCACTGAATTATACTTTTCGAATCATATCTTTGCTCCCTAATCTTCTCCATTACTGCTAATAATTCTACTATCACTATCACTCTTCTATTTGAACTAACAGTTGCATCTCTGTGTTGATGGGGCATGGCAACCTGAACTTACGAAGTTCTGCGTTGTATCTGTCTGTCTGTCTGTTTGTATAATCTTTATGACAAAAGAGCATCTCCAACCATTGAGATTGCAATTCTCATGATGACACTTTAACCAGCTAGTTTCAATGACAATGTGAAAGAGATGTAACTACTTATTATTTCGTTCGCGATTTAACTTTCTCTTTTGCATTACACAAGGAGCAATCGCATTTTAAAAACTAGCAGTGATTCAACTTACGTAACCCAACATCATAAATCTCAGTTAGTTTCATTAAATCATTTGGATTATATCATATGTTCACTTGATAACCTTATAAAATCTATATGAACAAATAATAATCATAATACAAATATGTAGGTTATCTTAATTTCGTAAAAAACACACATTTCACAGTAATCCAATTGAATCACAGTAGATTCTTCCTATGCGCCATCATTTAGAGGTTAAGCATTTTTACGCGTGAGACTACTTGTGTGTGTGGGGGTAGGTTGGTTGGTGGATGTACACTGCTGAGGAGTTAGTCCCATACTATGACGAAACAAGCACACAGAGTTGCCAGAATTTGAATGACAAGTTCATATCGATCGGTTTGTGATTTCAACTGTTAGCGATTCCGATTTTTTGGAACAATTTAATACGCTGCATATCTACAGTTGAAAAATATCTGGAACTCTAAACAACTTTCAACCAAAACACCAAGATCACGATTTTCAATACAAATGCGAAGATAGTTCTACTGTATGGAGCGGAAACTTGGAGAACTACCAAAGCCATCATCCAGAAGATACAAGTATTTATTAACAGTTGTCTACGCAAAATACTTCGTATTCGTTGGCCAGACACCATCAGCAACAACGAACTGTGGGAGAAAACAAACCATATTCCAGTGGAGGAGGAAATGAGGAAGAAGTGGTGGAAGTGGATAGGACACACACTACGAAAAGCACCTAACTGCGTCACAAGACAAGCCCTCACATGGAACCCTCAAGGCAAAAGGAAAAGAGGAATTCCAAGGAACACACTACGCCGAGAAATAGAGAAAGATATGAGAGGAATGAACAAACATTGGACAGAACTGGAGAGGGAAGCCCAGGAGAGAGTTGGTTGGAGAAAACTGGTGGGCGGCCTATGCTCCATTGTGGGTAACAGGCGTAAGTAAGTAAGTAAGCTATGAAATAAAAGATGCCTTCAAATTCCGTATATCATGCTTAAGCGAACATCATTTGTGCGACGGCGGTAAAAGCATGCGTTCATTTCATACAGTTTGTTCGCACACACAAACATGAGAATATGAAACGAGTAAGCGAAAAAAAAACTGAAATGCTGAGGAGGATGGACGAGCCAACAACTCAATTATGAGATGAGAGAGACATGATCTCAAGGGTTAAAGGAATAGAGCAAGATCAAAGAACACATTAGACTGTGAAATAAAGAGACAAAGACACATGAGAAGAATGAACAACAACCTATTGGACGGAACTAGACTAGAAGCCCCCCGGGATAGAGAAAGTTGAAGAATATGCTGGTCGGCGGCGTATGCTTCATTGGAGTAACAGGCGTTAGTAAGTAAGTAAGTATGCATGTATGCATGTAATGATAGAAGTAAGGAACGCAGTTCAACCGTGTTAGATGTAAGACAGTTAGTTACCTATCGAAGATATATTGAGTGAGATTGCGCAATACCTACGCGATTCATGAAAGTTAAACATTAACAACGTTGGATGCTATTAACCGGTTCAGTTGGACGTGAGATCAAAAGTCCTACATTCATTCGATTAGCGCGAGCGCTGACCGTAGCGCACTGTTAACGAGTCACATACTACGCCCGTCTATTGTGCTCCTAGGTTTCTAACTAATCCTGATATCTTACAATGACCCAACTGAGGATTTCAATAAAACTATGATAAAAGTACAAAAGAGTACAAAATTAAAGATCAACTACTACATTACACATAAAATCAAGTAGATGTGTGTGTGTGCATATATATATATATATATATATATATATATATATATATATATATTGAGACGGTGGAGAAAACTTGTAGCTCAGGTGGATGATTGCGGTGGTGTTTTGTTCTCTGAGCTGGTTGTTTTGGTTGTGGAGCTTTCATTGTTTATCTACTGAACAACATCATCATCA